TGTAAGTTTGGTATTGTACTTTGGAGTAATTGAAATAAAGTTTGATTGTTTATATGAGATATCAAATTAATTTAATCTCTACTATCAGCAATACCCTTTAAAATATTTGGGTGTTACAGATGACCTCTATAACAGAGGATTTTCCACGCCCTTCCTCAAATGCCTATCTCAAGAAGAGGCGTAGTATTTTATGGACGAGCTTCACAATAGTGTTTACGACATGCACATCAATCGACGAGTTTTAAAGGTGCAAGTTCTACGAGCTGGCTACTTCTGGCTGATAGTAGAAATTGATTGTAAGAGGTTTGTAGAAAGGTGTAACAGATGCCAAAAACATGGAATGAAGTTAAGGCACTTTCTTAAGAGCTGCACAATATCATTTCCTCTCGGTTGTTCTTGTAGTGGGGAATGGACATCGTCAGCTTGTTTCCGGTCAGCCAGGCCTAAAAGAAGTTCTTCTTGGTGGGAGTAGATTACTTTACCAAGTGGGTAGAAGCTGAAGCTCTAGCAACCATAACTGCTCGACAAATTCAATCTTTCGTTTGGAAGAATATTATTTGTCAATTTGGTTTGCCTTGAACGATCGTAACAAACAAAATCGTCAATTCATTGACAAGAAGTTAGGAGAGTTCTATAAGGAGTTGAGCATAAGACATGTCACAAGCTTCATGGAGCACCCTCATACGAACAGTCAGACGAAAGCTATGAATAAGATCACAGTCACCGAGCTCAAGTGAAGATTTAGAGAAGCTAAGGGAGCTCGGGTGGACGAATTGACGTAGGTGTTATGGGATTACCGATCACGCCACATAGATCCACGAGTGAACCCTCTTCATCTTGACGTACGAGACAAATGCAAGGTTATTGATTGAAGCGGGAAAGTCATCTCCAAGGAGGCAAATTCAAGACTTGGATGTCAATGTCGGACATCTTAGAGCCAAACTCAACATTGCAACTAGGTAGATGGAGAATACAACTATCCAGAATGAAGCTTGTAAGAGGATCGTCATGCAAAGGTTCAACACTTAAGTAAAGCCGATGAGTTTCATCAAGGGAGACTTGGTATGGAGAAACACGATAACATAAGGAAAAAGTCTTCACATCGAAAGCTTGTGTCAAATTGGGAGGGATCGTTCAAGATAGTAGAAGACATCAAGAACGACACCTATCGACTTCAATACCTGAGTGGCAAGGCCATTCCAAATACCTGGAAGGTCACACACCTCAAATTTTACTTTAGTTGATTTAAGTGTAACTATTGGGTAACATGTTAATTAATAAAAACAAGTAATTTCAAGTCATGATTATGTCTCTTTCTTCTTTCTTGATGAAGATTCTACTAATCAGTTTGGGAAGACTTCAACCAACGAACTCCTACTGAACCAATTACATAGTCAGTTAAGGAATAATTCACCCCATTGAACCCTATCGCACCTTTTAGCCCATCAATTAAGGAAGAGTTCTATTTGAACTCTTACTGATGGAACACTCATGAACGATTAAGGAAATGTTTTAATCGAACCTCTACCATCTAATTGGTTAAGGAAGAGTTTTGAAAAGAACCCTCCAACCATTATTAAAAATTGTTTAAGTTCGTCTAATCAACTTACAACAAAACACATGATAATAATTAATCACCAAATAAATTATAGCCAATAATTGTATTAAATTATATATTATATATTTTATTTAATAATATAATAATAAGTATGATATAAAAGTATTGATTTAAATATATTAAAATTACAATACTTGCTAATAAAATATATAACTTTATACGTATATATCAATAATATTGTTGCTAAAAATTGATTAAAGTTTTGTACTAGATTCAAATTTAATTTAATCCTGAACTTAATTTACTTAAGAGAGAATTTTGAATGTTAATTTTTTTTTTCTCTTCATTTGAAAGAGTCTCCTATAAATGGATTTTTTAAAAAATGAACTAAAACTAACTCAGACATGAAGTTGAGAACTCTAATATTAGCATATCAACATCTAATTTTAATGTGAGATAAAATGGTTGTCTAATAGATGTTTGGTTAAAAAGTTTTAAACTAGCAGTAGATGGTTGATGATTTTCTACTAGTTAGAAAGTTGTAAAGGAAGAGTGTGTTAAGGTGTGAAGGAAAAATATAAAACTGTAAGTAGATGATAGTCCTTAATAATTAATGTTTCTTTAAGTTGGAGGGACAAAAATTGTAGGAATAGCGTCTAGAAAAACTAGTCAAAAGAACATAGTAGATAAGAATTTTTTTTTTAACTTTTGATGTTTGTCTTTTCTTTTTTGACTTTTGATGTTTGTCCTTTCTCCCTTGCCAGTTATGTTTTTCAAAGTCATAGTTATTGCCTTAAGTGGTAACAATAGGTTGTTTGATTACATAATCTATCACGCAAAGCCTCAAAATGAAAGCCTGACAAAAAAATAGTCTAGACAGTAACTATTGATCAAATAGTGACATATAAATTATTATCAAAGTTAAAAAAATTTGTTAACCTATTATATTCAATATCATATTGCACACATATCAGTCGTCCACTGTACCCAGCTCAAGCTATATTCATCATCATCACTATTCCATGGTCACCACCGCCATCAACGTTCAAATTTTCCATGCAGTTTTGCATATGCTCATGTTGTCACTTACATACATTAAATACAAAAAATTGCATCAATATTATCCACCAAAATAGCCTCCTATTCTATGCCCAACACGCGGCACTTACAGTTCCAATTCCCCAGGTAATTCACCACACTACAACACTTACTACCTTTCAAACTGCTTTTCCTGTCCTAATCTCTTAATGCATTTCGTTTTAATTTCTAAGCTTAATTTTCAGACTGGATCCTATCTTTCTACCACCGCATTCTAGTATCTCCACTCGTGTATATAATTAAGTACACATGTTTTTTCAACATCCATGCATATCTTGTATCCTTAATATATAAAAGTGTATTTCAAGTGCTAAAGAAAACAACTTTTTCTCACATCACCAATTTGAAGAAGCAAGTGTGAATTCGCAGGAACCATGGTGGAGATTCACGAACAAATCAACCCTTTTGATGAAGAAAATGAAGAAAAAGAAGAAGAGATCAACTAAATGTTGAGCTTAAGAAGAGAACGTGGAAGGACGGAATCCTGTTGCAGAAGCTAAAGGAGAGCAAGACCAAGAAGCAAAACAAGAAGCTTCTAGGTGGAAGAAGTTGTCAAGAGCACAAGATTCAATCCTTAAATACGTGGTGAAGATCATGGAAGTTTGCAATGCTCAAGGTTTTGTCTATGGGATTATCCCTGAGAAGGGTGGGCCAGTGACAGGCTCTTCTGACAGCTTACGTGAGTGGTGGAAAGAAAGGTCAAATTTGACGAAAATGCTCCAATTGCCATTACAAAATACATGCCACTCTCCTTCAAAAAGATGAGTTGGATGCAACTTCCTACATACATCTCCTTAATGACTTGCAAGACACTACTTTGAGTTCAGAGCAAGATACACCACAAATACTACTAATTATTTTACTAATTAATTATTTAAATATCATGTAGTAAGACATCATCTCCTTATGTAACAAAAGACAGCCTTTAGCTTTGCACAGATACTATTAGCTTTTCTTGTTAATTTTATGTTTGGCAGTCAATGAATAGTTAAACTCTATTTACATTGATCTCTATATGTCATAACAAGGATTGCAGTCACTTGTATTTACTGTTATAATGTTAGGACTCTAATAACTAGCTATGGTCGGCTTGGTGAGTGCGGGAAGAAAACATAAAGGAAATAAAAAGAGGTGAGAAACAATTCCTCTGTAGACCCTAAAGAAAATATACAAGCTTTGATTTGATGCACAAATTAATAATCGTAGAAACTATGCCTTTGAGGTATGAAGTCTTCGTATTCCGGTCTTGGGCTTGTGTATGAGTAACCCTTCCTAAACCTGTTGTTTCTGCTTCTTACTTCCACATCCACAGAAAACACAGCACAAACAGGTCTGTGGTCAGAAAACCTTGACTCTCCTCGAATATATGATAATTGATCAATGCCATTGCCACGCCATAATATTCTGTCACACCTGACATATATGCAATTCAACACACCATTGTCAAGATTTTGGTTTATCTCTATTCATTTACATGTTATAAGAACAAAGAGAGATGCAGCAATACCATGCAGGTGTTCGACGTTTTTTCTTTGATTTGACAGTTTCACCAGCGTAAGAGTCTGAATTTTGTGAGTACTTGTAAGTGGGAGCAAAAACAATCCTCCCCTCTTTGAAACCGCTAAAAACCCTTCCTGCGTCTCTTTCCATGTTTAACTGCACACAATGAAATTCAAGTCAGTTTTTTCTCAGTATATGAATGTCATTGAACTATTGACTGTGTTGATAGACTATGAATGGATGGACACACCTGATCTTTCTCTAACAAAGTGTCCCAGTCGTTATCCTCCAATAGAACCCTTGTTTCTTCGTAACTCAAAGCCACCCGATAATTCAAATCTCCAAGCCATATTATTCGACTGCAAAACAGGGTGGAAGTGATTAGAATTTACAATGACATGTGCAAATTATGTGTTGTATAAAGAACTCATAAGTGAAATATCCGTGATAGTAACTCACTCATGGTCAACAATTCTGTCTGGCGCACGACGACACGGATTCTTGCAAATCCTAGGAAATTGGGTGCTTTTGAGGATCTCGGCTACATCAGAATTTCTCTTCAACTCGTCGCCGTCTTTCTCCCCAGAAGCCAAGTGACTACAGACGAAACAAAAACTTGTTTGATGTAATGACATGCTCATTGATATACACCCCTGCAATCAATTATTCATTCCATGTGCACCATTAGTCTTCATAGCAGTACATGACCAAAATAACATGAATATTCATCAGTGGCTATGTAACATGTTTTATATGTTTACCTTGTTACCTAAGCAACCCATGATCCCTCTCCCAACAGAATCCACTCTAAGATGTCCAATGTGAGGCACTAATTCCTTCTTAGTCCATATGGTGAGAAAAATCCCAACCATTTGCTTACTTGATATAAGGGAGTATCTGCATGTGCTAGGAGAAGAGGGTAGTTCTGTGATTGAAAGCAACTCTTCCACGGTTTCATCACCATGAAGCTCAGAGTCTAACTTGTTCATAGGGTCACTGTACTTTCTCGCCCTTCGTCTCTCCCTGGATGGAGAATCCACGGGACAATTGCAAGCCTTAAGGAGGCTGCTACCCTCTGCCCTGAAGTTTTTACTGATAACTTTAAGAGAAGGCTTCTGAAAGAAATTCAAACTTGCCGGGGACTTTGAATCCTTCGAACTACTATTGCTTTTGGACCCAGTTCCCGAGTCTGAAGAATCACTGTATTCATTTCTTGGTCTGTTTAGTGCTTGACTTATCAAAGCCAACCACCTTGCTGCAGGTTCGTTGTCTTCTATTACTAAAACATTCCCAGCACTCAGAGGAACAATTTCCTGGAAACTGAACATATAAAGTATTTCATGTAACATCAATTTGTATTAATTTGAGAACAAAACAGCAGAAAGAAGGAAAAACATTCAAAAAGACTTTATTTTTTAGTACAATAACATATTTGCATCACTTGTTGGTCTGGTTTGGTCTGGATTTACTTCTAAATAGCTCGAGTAGCTTCTTAACAATAACTAATATCTTCTTTTTTCTTCAGATCAGTATCCAGCTCCATAGTAATATGTTTCCATGAATTATTCCTATTGTTAACTTTGTTAATGTCCTTATTACAAAAACTAGAAAAGCAAAAGTTCACAATAAACCATGGAAGCGAATCACTACTACTAATACAATTAGTGTTGCTGAGAAACGACAGTACAACTATTAGAATTTAGTTCATAAATAACCATATATTTACACTACTGAGCTAAAGTGAAAATGTTACTTCTTGCATTTTCGTACCCCAAGACATATATATCCGCGGAGCCTTCTACTAAGAAGAAATCTTGAAGGTTGAGATCTAAATTTGGTGACTTTCCTCCCACATTCCACGTTGCAACGAAGATCCTGGAAATCACGTAACCAAAATGGCATAACATGAAAATGAAGATTGCATGTGAGTTTGACTATTTCAGGCAACAAAACAAATTGTGAATGAAGCCTTGAATCGAAAATAAATTCCCACATACCTGAAACTCTGCAATTCAGTTTCTGGAGCCATCACAGGGCGTTCAAAAGTGGACAAATTTAGGCCTTCGATTCCTGGGCTAGTCTCCCTTTCTGTGAGTTGATAAGAAATTAAAACAATGGTCTATTTTTTTTTCATGTCATCATTCTCTGACAAATCTATAATTGCATGACGTTTACATTGCAAGAGTGAAGAGTTTATGGTGCAGATCAAACAAGAAAAATTCCCCAGATTAGAAAACATGTTGCCAATAACCAAAATTTCATTGCTGTTAGGTAAGCTACCAAAATAATACAAGATTACACGAAGAAGATTTCTTACTGTTTGATAGGTACTTTGATTTTTGCAAGTTGGATTCAGAATCTAGAGTTGACCTATAATTTTTTCAATTCATACTAAAGCCCCAATTTTGAGTATATTTAGATTTATTCAATATTTTAAATTATTCTTCGACATATTTATTAAAGATTGATTGTTCCTCAAAATAAGACACGAGAATAATTCTGAAATAACTTGACAAGTTGAAATTGATTTCTAAAGCTCATGTTTTTGTAATTAAAGAAAAAAAGAAATTATGTTGTTTTTCGAGAATGTAAAAATTATGTGTTTGTTGGGGCAATGCATAAACTAGTACCTGAGAAACTTTTTCTCATGATGGGGGCAGCTTCCAAAAATGCTTTTTTTCTTGTCTCAATCTTCTCCAAGTCTTTCCATGCAAAACATATGTAAATAAAATTAATCAAAGTGAAACCATAAAACATGGAAATTTAGATTTTCTATGGAAAAAAAGAAAGGAAAGCATGCAATGAATACCAAGAGTAGTAGCTCCATCATCTTCTTCCGTGCCTGGTTTGATTGCTTCTTCGTCTGAGCTTCTCCCATTTCGCTTTGATCCGAAAATCTTCGGAAGGATAGACTTCATCCAAACAAGAAAAAGGGTCAAGAAAAAATGCACCATACCCTTATACTGAAAAACAAGAAAAACGTAATGCATGGAAAGAATGAATTATAACATAAAAAGAAACACCTTCTTTTTCTTCTCATTCTTGGCACTGGTATCTGGCAAATTTGATGCAGTGGTTGTGTTGACAGGGCTGGTGGCAGCAGCTTCATTAGCTTTGGTCATTTCAAAGTTAGCATTTGATTTAGAACGTGCACCCGTAGACGAAGACATTCATTCATTCGTATTTGCAACATGCCCTTAATATGATCTTTAGTTCATCACATTCAGAAGTAGAAACATTGAGAAAGCAATAAGAACGTGTGCATGAACAAACTTTGTTTTTGTCTCTTCCTTTTGAAATCTTGGTTTCATTAAGTGCGATTATTGAATATGTTTTGTATGTTGTACATTTTTTTTTGTTGTCAAAAGGATGAGATTTTGGCGGCGGATCTTTCGGGGCACTTAAGGTTGAGGGAGATAGAGGAGCAAAAAGAGGCATGAAACGGTTGAGTAACAGTTAACAAAATAAGCCAAAAATTACACACTTTGGATTTATTAGCTGGGTGCCTTACCATACCGTCATCCCTATGTTGTAGATATCTGTTGGCAATAGTCAAGGGAAAAACACAAAGTGAATAATATTTCTATATATATATATAATATTATTTTATAAACAAGTTTTGCTGAAATTTAGTAATTTTTAAAAAATATGTAATTATAATCTATAACGTATACAGAAGAGTGAAGGTTGAATAGATAACATTGTAGAAAATGACTTTCATTTTCATGGAAATTCAACACACTCACTCTTCTTTTTGTTAGAAAAAGAAAAAAACAGTTAGGAATTAATATTCTAGGAGATAAAATATTCCTCATAATTTCTTTTGAAAAAACTTTTACTAAATACGAGAGCATGATATTCCCAAAAAGTTATTATTTTTTTCATCAAGATACCATGATACCTTAAAATAAACCCTACCATTTTTAATTTACTGTTTTCTAAAAAAATAAAACGTTATGCTATTTTTTTAATTCAAGTGTTTCACCAAATACCATGTAACGATGAATTATCTTCTTTGTTATAATAGATTATAATATATGATATAATATGATGGTTTAAAGAATTATTTACCTACATTATATAAGAAAACTACTACATAACAACTAATATAAGATAACAATTAATCAGTAGTTATATTGACTAAATTAAATACTATTTTATAAACTAAAAATTATTAGTATTTAAAATAGTCTTAATTATTAAAAAAAATATTTTTTTTACTGATTTTAAAATATAGCGGTTTCAAATTAGAACAGTTTTTTCATGAGTTTTTTTTTTTCTAAATATTTTTGGTCCTTCCATACTACTATAACTTGGCCATGTCATCTTATAAAACAACAGCATATGAAGAATCGTTTTGAAAAATATTTGAATTCATTTATATTGTTCTCATTCCTTCGCCGCTAATTTATTTCCTAGATATGTTAGAAATCATGGCAGCTATACCTATAAGTTCGCTCCCATTCAGACAAACTATTTCTAGAGTTACATTACCATTTACTAATCCTGTTTTCATTTTTTCTCTCTCTAACCAAAGTTGTGCAGGGGCTACTCGCATTGCTACAATACGGATGATTTCAGGGCATGTTTTGCCATGCAGTTCACAGATTTGAAACTGTCACCGATTGGTCAATTCTTTCCAATAACTTTCAGTGTAGAGAGTATGCAGAGAGAATTTTGTATCTATTGAAAGGCCAAACCCCGAAAGCCATCCACCAAAATGATTATCAACAATTATACCTGCAGATATTTACATCAGTATACTCAGTGATCAACGTTCAATTTATCAATCAAGCTTATAAGGGGATTCAATATATAGACCAATTGTGCATATAAAAATATAAATTGCCATCGACTATCGCGGCATACCATTTTGATCTTTCATAAAAGCACGATCAAGGAGACATTTCATCTAACTGTTGTCTGTAGACAGCTAAACTCTGTACATACAAATGACAACATACAACATGGTTAATATCAGATAGGTTGACGAAAAAAAATATCTCAAGTAGTTAAAGACACAGACAGTAAACAGAAGCAGCAAAATTTAAGACAAACTGTAAAACATGACATTGCCTACAGCATCTTACAAAATTTGGGATATGCAATTAAGACATCACATAAGGCATTAGACTAATCTAGGTCGAGCTGAGTGTGATCGCCACGAACAATAAAACTCTTCACCCATGATTTAATTCAGCTGCATTCTAAGGAACTCGAACTCAGTTAACACTCCTCTACTTGAGCTAGACCCATCCACTAGCTAATCTAGGTGATCGGTGGTAATGGTAAAGATTATTCTTTTCCATGTGTGAGAATTCAATTAGTTAATTATAATTTCACATTGTAAAGATGCAAAGTTTCAAGCTTCCTTTCAAAAATCACAAATGAAAAAACTTGTCAAGGATGGATGGAATGAGAAGTGAAAGGTCGTTTTTTCAATTATATATGTAAACTTGTTTTTTATTTTTGTATATTAAGAAGAAATATTCAGTCCTAACCCATTAATGTAAATATACAATTATGCATGCCAAGTTCGTTACTTTTGTCCCTCCACAGATGTTTTCTAGATCCATCCCTGTTTGTTGTGTTGAGGCGTTGATTTTTCACTTCAACTCGTGCGTGGAGATCATTTCCACTTCTCAAACAAAAAGCAACCATAAAATGGAGTGACTCGACACTTGTGATGAGTCTTGATAAGGTTCTATATAAACAAACAATCAAAACGCAAAACCTAGGTAGAAAAGGGAGATGGGAGGCCTTGTGGAGGATCGAACCTCTGATTTCATCATATAACATCCAAATCTTAAAGGTTTGGTCATTGGCAAAACTATGCGCCCATTGGCAGATGTTTTGCATTAGCACATAACTTGGTTCCAATAACTACAGGGGGAAATAGAGCACTAGAAAAACTACAAAATTTTATCTATTACAAGTGTCTGTTAGCCAACAGGAAAAAGAAAAATATCCAAAAGCTGCAACACAATCATATGTCACGGATTGAAGCAGATGGTGATTTCACGTTTCCTAAACACTACCAACCCTCACATAGCAATGATCCCTCGTTAATTTGAGTAGCATTCATTGTTAATTTCATCGCACCAATAACACCAGGTAAATAAATACCAGCAAAAGAATCACACACCTGAGTGTATGCATAAACACCAGCTTCTGTGGGCCCCACAGGACTTCCTCTACTCATATACTCCCCCTCTTTATATATGTAAAGCAACGGTACGCCAGTTGATAATTCTAAAGTAGTGACCTGTTTGTCCACAGACAAGTAAAGTTCAATCACATTTCTGTTTTATTAGATACCAAAGAAAATTTTACGTAAATGAGATGGACGCATTCATAAGAACTGCAGGATACTACCTCTTGGGAGGTTAATCTGTCAAGATACATTATAATGGACCTCAATGAGTTTCCATGAGCAGCAACCATAACGTGCTTTCCTGATTTTAATTGGGGTTCAATCTACACCACATTGTTTTCAGAATCATCTCTCGGAGCAATTTAAAATGTTTCAATCCCCAGCAAGTTATCAATGTCGTACAAATCTAACATTAATCTTTGACATTAAAGAATAAGGAAATCAACACCCTTACAAAATCTTTAAAATATGAAACAGCTCTCTTTGAACACATTTCCAGGCTCTCGCCCTTCGGAGGAGGAATGTCAAAACTCCTACGCCATTCATGCACTTTCTCCTTCCCATATCTTTCTGCAGTCTCCTGTTTATTAAGACCTTGTAACTCCCCATACCTGAAGAAATAGAAAAAGAAGAATGATCTCTCCTTCTAAAATTCATTGAACATATTCTATGAACAGGAAACAAAGGCAGGGATTCATAGCTGCACACATTCTTTCATTCAACTCCCAAGCAGTAATAACTGGAATAGATTGCTTGGTGGTTTTTTCGCTGTAAACTCGAGTCCAAGTTGTTGCCTCTTCATTCTCATTATGGATGATAATAGGAATCTATACAGCAAAGATGGGGTTAAGAAATCCTGATTCTAAAAATATTTTACAGGCATACAAAATACCAATATCTACTGGCATAAGTGGCGTCACTACCTTCTTTTGGAGGTGCTGCGTCATTGCAAGCATAGCCGTCATCTGCGCTCGAATCAGTGCAGACGTGAAAATCATATCAACCGGTATAAAGCTAATCCTCTTTCCAGCTTCAATGGCTTCCTCTACACCTCTCTGGGTCAACGGCACATCGCAACATCCGGTGAACAAGTTCTTCTCATTCCACAAAGACTCCCCATGACGAATCAATATCAAAGAACTCTCAGCTATAAAACAATCAATGTCATAACACCCACAACCAAGAAAATATAGCACGGCACCACGACCTTCGGTCTTATTCAGTAATAAAAAAAACACAGTTTACATTTTTCATATTTTTCATATCAAGAATCACATATATGTGGTAATATCAAAGTTCGTTGGGTAGAAATAAATAAAGTAACCAAGAAAAACAACTTCTTACTTGATGAGTCGTGGGAAATGGAGAGTGGTGTATGAACGTGACGCAATGTATTGCAGCGAGTGTTGCACGCGAATCGCATTGAGTAAAACCTTCCGAAGTTTCCAGAAGATCGAGGCGCCGCCGCATCAATGCAAGAACCGTGAAGTCCTGTAGGTTGGCATTTGAAAGTAGCAGCCATCATTCTGAAAGAAGAGAACACCTATTGATATTTCCACACCGTGAAGAACGAAAGGAAGGAATATTAACAATAATAACGAGGAAACCAAATGCAGAATAAAAAGATACTGACAACTTGACAATGGTGGAGTGAACAAAATTTTAGAAGTGCGGTTTGCAGAAAGAAGAAGACAAGAAATTGATAGTGTGACAGTGAGATTTGAGAATGACCCCAAAACAGAATACAAGAAGAAGACCGAGCGAGGGTTGCGGGGAAAAGACTACGACGCCGTTCCGTGTTGACAATGGGACCAATCCCGCACTTTTTCCTTTTTAACCAACTATTTTATTGATAAATTAGAATATATTTAGTGAAAAAAAATTATAAAAAATCTACCGGAAGCATCTTCTAATAATTTATTTAGAAAAGTTAATAGCATAATTTTAGCAATATTTTTTATGTATGGTTTATTAATAGTTAAAATGTGTGAATATCAAATTTTATTTATTGAGTTATTTCTATAACTTTTAACTGATAGTAAAAACAATAAGAAATATATGTAAATAATATATTTTTAATTTTTTAGAAATTAAATAATTAAAAGATTTAGAAAAAAA